AACGGGCCGCTACGCCCGCCTCCGCCGGGCAGCCCTCACCTCTCCCGGACGGCGGCCTCCGGGAGTCAGCAGCCCCGGTCCGCGCCGCCGAGCCACCCGCCGCCTCCTCCGCTACCTTAGCCCACGGGGCGGACCCAGCCCGGATCACGGGCGGCCCAGGCGCAGGTAGGCGACCATGCGCATGCGCAAGCCTTCAACTTCCATTCGCTACTGCTAAAGAACACTCGCACCCGAACCGACCAATCCCGGCGCGCCTCCACCGCCCCTCCCTCCTGAGTCCGGAAGGAGGTAGTTCTTAAAGGGCTACGACCCAAATACCGAGGAGGCGTGGCTGGGCGCGCCCCTTCCAACTTTCTACCCATTTCGCGGCTCTCACCCGTGTGGGTTTGAGGTCCGAGGCTGTAGTTCCCAACGTCCGGAGGTGCGAGGAGGCCTCGTGGTCGAAACTCGATTCTTGTTGGAGTAGCAGACGGGACTGACGCGCGGATGCAAAGAGGTTCAGCGTGAAGGCGCGACACGCCCGGGGCGTGGGTGCCGAGGTCCACGAGGCTGGGCGGCAGACCCGAGATAGGCAAACCAAAGAGCACAGCCTCCTGCCAACCTGGATGAGGTGCCAAAGTCTAGGGGCGCGCCCCAGTCTGGGTTGGAGGCGCTCACGGATGGCTGGCTGGCTCAAGGGAGACTGGGAAGCAGAGTTCGTCCATTAATTGTTCCAACAAATTTTGAGCACCTGCTATGTGCCAGGCACTGTGCCAGGCACTGCAGACAAAGAGAGGAACTCCTGACACTAAAAACTGTGAAGAGAGGAGGGCAGAGTGAGAGCACCCATCAAACAATCACACAATGTGTGCTTGAATACGACCTGGGATATGAGCTCTTCAGAGAGGAGCAAGGTGTTTGAGAACATTTGCAGGAGCTTCTGGCCTGGACTTTGCGGTCCAGGGAGGCCTGTCTGAGAACAGGACACTGGCTTAGTAGCTACCTAGACAAAGGGGAGAAAAGGGTTTCAGACAGAGGGAAAAGTATGTATAAAGAACTCTGTGTGGAAGGCAGGAGGACTCCTTGAGGGGTGAAAAGAATGCTGTTGGGGGGTCCGGGGGAGTTAGTATTTAATAGGCACAGAACTTCAGTTGGGCAAGATGAAAAAATTCTGGGAATGGATGGTGGTGAGAGTTGCAGAACAATGCGCTTTTACTAAATGCCACCAAATTGTACATTTTAAAATGGTTAAATGGTAAATTTTATGTCTATGTTGCCGCAAAAAAAGTTAAGAAAAATGAAATCCAGACTTCAGAGAGAAAAGGAGTAAAGTGAGAGCCCCTAGGGAGACTAGAAGGGGGAAGACCATATGGGATCCTGTAAGCCATGGTAGAAAGTTTACGACAGTGGAATACTGATCAAGTTGCATTTTGTAAAAATCACTTTGGCTGCTGAAGTTAAGACCAAAATGGAGAAGATTCATGGAAGCCGTGGTCAGACCAGGTGGGAAGCCAGTGCAGTCATCTGGGCAAGAGAGGGTGAAGCTGGAGCTTGGACGGGAGCCATGGTGATGAGGAGAACTGGGCAGTCTGCAGAGAAATGTAGGAGTCAGTTCAACAGGACTTGGTGATGAATTTGATGTGAAAGGGTGACAAAATCGCTTCAAGGGTGAAGCCACTGTTCATGGATGGATGGTGGAGGGATTCATAAATATGGAGAACACTGGAAGATCTGATTTTGGAGAGAAGATTGGCCCTTAGTTCCATCTTAGACAAGTTTGAGTTACCTTTGAGATTTCTGGTTGGGTTGTCAATGTTAGCAGTTGAATATTCAGGGTGCAGTTCAGTGCAAAGATCTGTGCAGGACAGAGCCTCTGAAAGTCATCACCACATGGGTGATGCACAGGAAAATTACTAAAAAAAAAGACAATCCCACAAAAACCAGGAGAGAGTTAAGTTGGAGACCACCTCCAGGGGTCCCTGCCTCCTGATATTCATGCCCTTGTATAGTCTCCTCCCACACTGAGTCAGGGTTGGCCTACCTGACAAGTGATCATAAGGCTAGGTAGGAAAAGGCACACACAAGGTAAAACAGATTTGGTTAGTAAGAGACCGCAAACCCTGTAGTGTATGTGCCAGAAGAGAGGCTGGGGTTCCTCTCAAAGAGCATTCACACGGATGAATGTAGACCTGTTCCTCCCACCGCAGGTCACATAGTACAAGGCTCTGGCCTAAATGAGGAAGGCCCACAAAACCCCAGAGCTTTCAAATATGGAGCCTCGGGCAGGTTACTTATGTTTTCTCATCTGTAGAATGGAGACAATAAGGGTGACTTTTAGGGTTGTAAACCCAATAAAGCATTATTATTGCCCAGAAGAAAAACAGGCATGTATGTGTTTGTCCCTCAGCAAAGAATAAAGCTCAGACCAGTGTTTTTCTTGGCCCTGCGGGGTTTGGCTTTGGAGGAGTCAATGCCCAGGGTTCACCTCCAGGTGCAAAACTGGAGGCACAAGAGAGCTGTCGGAAGAGGGGGGGACTTGGAGCCAGATATCTGGGTTCCAGCCACGATTCTGGGGTGACCCGGGCACGGTGCTCCTGCATATCCAGACTGTACAAAGAGTGTTAAAAAGCAAGGAGCTGATGCCTGGCCCTGCACCCAGGTCAGCTTTTCAGGATCCGCTAGCAACTCCCGAACTCCCGGACCGGGCGCAGGGACCCTGACCGTCACTCCTGCGCGCCCAATCACAAACGACGTTCCGCCTGTTCCCGCCTCCTAAGCGGGAGGACCCAATCAACGCCGAGAGCGTGAGCCCCGCCCCGTCGTGGGTCGCCGCTGCGGCAGTAGTTGGTCTGCAGCTGCTGGAGCTGCGCCGGGGACCCGGGACCGGGTTCCGACCGGGCTGCCCGCGATGTCGGTGGCCTTCGTCCCAGACTGGCTGAGAGGCAAGGCGCAAGTCAACCAGGAGACCATCCAGCGGGTGAGCGCGGCCGCGGACAACGGGAAGGGGTTTCTTAGTCGAGAACCGGAAGGGCCGCGGGTGCAAGAAGCTTCCCGGAGCGGGCGGCATCCCAGCCGAGACCTTGTGCCTACGGTGTTGACTCGCTGGGTGAGGTGGAAGCCAACTCAGCCAGGGTGCCGGGGCAGGACAGCCTCGCACTGGGCTGTGAGACCTTGGGCGGGTTACTTAACGTCTCGCTGTCCTGTGGCACTGACCCTTTCTCTGCTCCTTCAGCTCCTGGAGGAGAATGACCAGCTGATCCGCTGTATCGTCGAGTATCAGAACAAAGGCCGGGCGAACGAGTGCGTCCAGTAAGTCCCCTGCTCCCTCCCTTGGCTTTTGAGTGGAGCGGAAGCCAGTGTGGTGAGACGGCGGCCGTCCCGAACTAGTCGTCTCGGGCGATCGATGGCAGATGAGGATCAGAGAGGTTGCTTCCCTGCCCAGCACCACAGGACTCTGCATTGTGAAGCCTGGAGTCGGATGTAGCACCCTCTTCAAAACTTGAATTACGCTCATTGCAAAGCCTTCTTCACGTGAAGCCTTGTCAGCTGATGACAACAGGAATGGGGAGGGAAGCACATGGAAAAGTAGTCTTAGGAGATGAGACTGGTGGCCGCCTTCTCTTTTTTTTTTTTTTGAGAGCATGTTTATTAAAGCTGGGAACAGTGAGATAAGGAAGGGCTTAGGATAGAAGAGGCAACAGGAGGGAGCCTAGGTGGGGCTGCTTTGGCTCAGGGGGAAGTCAGAGAAAAGGGGCCTTGGAGACAGGTCCAGGGAGTTAGCCTGGGATGAGCTGCCACTGCCCATTGCTCCCTTGTTTGCAAGTCTGGTGGAGACCCTTAGAGTTTAGGAGATGCAGCCTGAGAGGGAAGAAAGGGGTGGGCATGCTCCTGGGAGAGGGTGGTGGCTGCTTTCTTATCATGGACCCCTGGCTGATCCTTTCGCTTTATGTTGGGTGGGGTCAGACCATTTGGTTGCTAAGTTCCTTCCCATTTCTAACTTTGTAATGTTAACACACAAAGACCAGTGAAAGATTTCCAAGGTAAATTATTCTTTCATTGTCACTGAAGTCATATTTAAGAAATCCATGCTTTTCCCACCCCCTAAAAAATCACCCACAATCCTTCACTGAACAGCTCAGTGGAATAGTGGAGATAATCCATCTTTGGGTAAGTTTTTACATTTGACACCAGCATTTGGTAGTTTGCTTTTTTACAGTTTATAGTAAACACTCATTTTTCTATATGGAAAGTAGTTGCAAAACATTCTGTTTGGTGCTGTGATTCTCACCCCATGGGTAGGAAAGTTATCAAAGTCTCCTAGAGGGCTTTTTCACATTGCACAGGCCATGCTTCCTGCTCTCTAGTCTGACTTTTCTTCCTGGGTAGGGAGTTCTACTCCCTGATTGAGAATCACTACCATAGGAAGCACACATGGAAGTATTTCATCCCTGCTTTAAGTTTGTTCAGATATTTTATAAGTACTACTGAGTACCAGGCACTGTGTTAGCTACTGAGAAATCAGGACCAAAACAACAGCTCTGCTGGCGTGGAGCTTACCTTCTACACACTGGAATCTAGAGGGAGGAAATAATATAATTAGGCACATGCTAATAACTCTTTGAATAAGAATAAAGTAGGGTAAGTGGGGGGAAGGGTGCTGTTTTATACAGGGTATCTCTGATGTCACATTTAAGTAGATACCTGAGGTAAGGGAGCCAGCTATGCAGGTATGTGAGACAGAGCATGAGAGAGAAAAGCCCCCAGGCCAGAGAGTACTCTGTAGCTTTAAGTGTAGGCAAGGAGGCTGCTGCATCCAGAACTCACTAAGCAAAGGGAAAGTAGCAGGAGGTGAGATCAGAGGTAACTAGAGGCCCTGATCATGTAGCGCCTTGTAGGCCATGGGAAGGGCTCAGCTTTACTCAGAATGAGAAGGGAGCCGTTGGAAGGTACTAAACAGAGCTATGACACGATCCTAACTTAAATTGTACAGTGATCACTCAGGCTGCTCCGTGGAGAATAGAGTAGGGGTACGGGGGTACAGCAGGGGAACCAGTTAGGAGATGGGTTCAATTCCATAGACTAAGCAAGAAGTGATGGTGGCTTGGCCTAGAGAGGTGGCTTTGGAAATAAGTGAGAACAGGTAGGATTATGGACGCATTTTCCTTGAACGTGTTGAACAAGAAGGTTGATAGCACTGAATCACTATCCAGTCAGTGGATGAGTCTTCCATTAGAGTAGGTAAATTCTTTTCCACTTGTCTGTTCATGTTCAGTAAAATCAAGACTCTAACTTGTGCCTGTTTTTCACCCATAGGTACCAGCATGTGTTACACAGAAATCTCATTTATTTGGCTACCATTGCAGATGCCAACCCAACCAGTCCTTCAAAAGTAATGGAGTAATCTGCCAGCTGGCTGTTGTGAGGAGTAATTCAATGGAGTCCATTTCCGGTGAAACGGAGACAGGATCTTTACCAACTCAACTTCTGAAGACATGAAGGAAATCTCTGTGGCTCATCTAAAAGTGTGAAAATGTGAAGAAGGCTACAAAATTAACTGTATTTCAGTGTAAATATTTATTTTCATAAGTAAGCAGATTCCCTCAATTAAGTTGCCTCCAGGCATCCTCTTTCCTGAAATAGGTGTGTTTGGATAACAAAGATCATGGGCATCTTCAAGTCTACCTTGTTAGTTTCAACCTGAAGAGGAAACAGCAGGTGCTTGGCGATCAGGAGGAATTGGTGAGACTCCCGACTGAGACCTAACAGCTGAACATGTAACTGTGTTCTCCTTTCTACCAGTTTGTAGTTCTGGACCCCTTGACCGCTCTTTTCAGGTTGCTTTGAAATAAACCTTACCTTTCCACAAAACACTGATACTGAGGTATAGAAATTTTCATGTACTAAGTGTTCCATTGGGTTTTCTAGGAAAACTGTAAAAACTTAAAAATATATGTAACAATACCATTATCATTGCTAACAAAGTTAATAATAATTACTAATTATCTTATATCCTCTAATAATAGATGGTGTTATAAGGGAGGAAAAATATCTTTCTCCTTCTGTTCTTTTAAGGCCCTATAACAAATGACAGATTAGCAAAAGAAAAGCATACAAATTTATTTAATAAGTGTTTTATGTGACACGGGAGCCTTCATAAGGAAATGAAGACCCAAAGAAGCAGTTAAACCTGAGAATTTTCTAAAATATTTTTTTATTGATTTTTAGAGAGAAAGGAAGGGAGGGAAAAAGAAATAGAAACATCAATGGGCTGCCTCCTGCACACCCCCTACTGGGGATCAAGCCCGAAACCCAGGCATGTGCCCTGCTGGGAATTGAACCAGTAATCTCTTGCATGGGATGACCATCAGCCAACTGAGCCACACCAGTCGGGCACATGATATTGTTTTGATTCCATTTTAATAAAAGCAATTTTTAATTAATCTGTTCCCAATAAAATCCCACAGAATTCCCTAGAATTCAGATGTTCTCTTCAACCACTAGGACATTCTCTTCCTAATCTTTAATAAGAATCTAGAATCCAAGGAGTGTTTTTATTTCTGTTGTGATTTGTTCATTCATTCATTCAAAAATATTTATTGATCAACTAGTATGTGCTGAAGGTGTTGCAGTGGGGAAGCCATACACTGTCCCTGCTCTCATGGAAACTTCAGTATAAAGAAGGCAATACAGTATAAATAATATAGTTATGGGGGAGGCAGACAATAAAGTATAAATAGTCAAGGAAAGCTGCACATGGTAATAAGTACTCTGCAGAGAATCACAATAGGGAATGTTCTGAAGAGTGTCTGGGCAGCTACTTTCTATTACAGTCAGGGATGACCTGAGTAAGTAATATTGCAGCTGAGATATGAATAACAAGGAACTTGATATGTGATCATCTGGGGAACTAGTAGTGTATCATTCCAACCAGTTTTGGGGTTTGTTTGTTTTTTGTCCTCTTGAATCCATTTATAGAGCAGCATGCACCTATGTGGTCATCAATTCAATTATAACGTGTCCTCATCTGACCAGGCCTGTGCTGGGCTCTACAGTGAGGAAAATAGAGGAGGAGGGGCACTAGGCTCTGCTCTCAAGCTGCTCTTAATAAGCCTGGCAAGATAAAAGAGACTCATACCCAGGCACAGACCAGGGCACCATGCAGGACCAGATGTTGAGGCTGCAGTAACTCCATGTGGAAATTATCAAGTGCTGCTTCTACATCATAGAACAAGTATGCTTTTTAATTCCTGAACACTCCTTTGTCTTTAAACAAAAAATTACCAGTTGAAGCAGAAGCTAACAGCATCCGACTCTCATTTCTTGAACTTTACTCCAACTTCACTGAACTTTTTCGTTTGTGTCCTGACTCCCAACAGTCCATATTTATTATTTCTATTCCTGAGGACATTTTCCTAAAACTGGAAGTCTGCTTTTCCCAGGTATAGCAGGCCAGCTCTCAACTAATGACTAGCAGGAGATGGAATATTAATATCCCAGCCTCCTCACTCCCCATAAGAACAATCCTGAGATGCTTCTTCAATATTGGTGGCCAGAGTTCCCCAGAAGAATTAGACTCCAATCACCCGCTGTGGTAGGTGGCTTAATAGTACACACTTTACTGGCTACCTTCCTTGTTTCACTTCATCACTCCCCAAGTGGAGTTTCTTGGGATCATTTCCTAAGTAAGCAACTTACACTCAAACCATTGTCTCAGAGTCTTCTGAGGGAAGCAACCAAGATACTAGTCTAATGCCTTACTCCTGGTGTGTAGACCCTGAAGCTCAGCAAATACAGCTTCTATCAGCACCAGGGAAGACAAAAATTTTTACCCAAATCCAATCTACTTGTAAAAACTAGTGTCAGAGCCAAGGACTCAAAGCAGAATTTAGATTACAAATAAACAGGATCAACATTAAATGAGTTAGAATCCTATCTGACAAGAAGTGTCTGTTGTAGTGGGTTTTTCATATGAATTTGATGGGATCCAAACTCCCTGCTAAAGAGAATGAAGCAACAGACATTTATGAAAACAGCCATGCTTTAAAACAAGTTAGTGGCAGCCCAGCCGGGCGTGGCTCAGCGGTTGAGCATCGACCTAGGATCCGGGCAATCGGAGTTCGATTCCTGGTCAGGGCACATGCCTGGGTTGCGGGCTCGATCCCCAGTCAGGGTCATGCAGGAGGCAGCTGATCAATGACTCTCTCATCATTGATATTTCTATCTCTCTGTCCCTCTCCTTTCCTCTCTCTGAAATCAATAAAGATATATTTTAAAAAATATAAAAAACAAACAAAACATTTATCTAAAAGGCTAAAAGATAGGTGTAGTATTCACAATTAAGGTGACTTCTTAGTTTGAAGCCATTGCCCCAGTGGCCATCTCTGGGCTGCCACACCCCCATGCCTTTCTCCTGGGTACTGGCTTCACCCCGAGCTGATCAATCATATTTACTCAAGAGATGGGCATATGAACCCCATCAAGCCAATCTGAATCTTTCCCCAGGGTTTTACTCACTGGTACTGGCAGGAAAAATGCTTTCTCTTCAGATTGCCAGGCTATAGAGATGTATGCTTAAAGATGCCATGGCCAAGTTCCCTGTCCCACCTGGAGAAAGCCAATCTGATCTTGACTAATATCATGAAGATGTTATTTTAGCAAAATGCACATTTTTTTTTTTTACCCCATGAAATGGTCTACTTGTTTTCCACTAAAAAAGAAATCTAGGAATTCAAAATAATGTGTTTCCAAAATTTCAATATAGATAGACTTTGTTACCAAGATCTGGTCATATTTATTCCTGCATCGTGGGTCCCAAGATTCCCTCCAAGTTTGATGGTTGGCTAGGAGGATTCACAGAACTCAATATGTAAACCACAGCTATGGTTTATTAGCAAAATAATTCAAAGCAAAATCAGCAAAGAGAAAAGACACATGGGGCGAAGTCCACAGGAAACCAGGTTCAAACTTCCCTCTCCCAGTAGAGTCACACAGGACAAGCTTAGGGAAGGGATTCAACAAGTGATGAATTGTCATGACATGTGAGAAATGTCTACCAGGGAAGTTCATCAGAGTCAGTGCCCAAAGTTCTTGTCAGGGGGCTGGTCACATATGCATCCTCTGCCTAGCACATACCTAAATTCCAGATTCCTAAAAGGAAAGCAGCTGTTCAACATAAACCATATTGTTTACACAAACAGTTTAGGCCTAGTGAGGCACTCTTCTCATATAATGAAAATTTTCTCTAAGTACAGGAAACTGGTTACCATTCAAGTTCTCAGATTCCACTCAACCTACACTGTAAGCAGGCCTTTCTAAAGACAGCAGCCTCAGGCTTATTATATCAATTCTTTTCCGCACAATTTCCCATTTAAGATCTAGAATATCCTTTTATTTAAAAAATAGTATAAGCAAATAAGGTAGGATTGTGTATGTACCTTCTCACTGGATTCCTTTTCTCTCCTTTCGTTCATCTCTTTTTTCCCTTGCCTAAGTTATAAAAATGTCAAAGTTACTTCGGGGACAGGTTGGAGAAAGGATCCCTGCTCGAGGCTGAATTGTGCATCACAGAGGATGATACACTGCGAAAAAGAAAACAGGTGGAAAGCTTACTTACACCTCCCCGGAGTAACTCACACAACTGGCTCCCAGCTGTCAACAGCGAAGCCTCGCGATATCGGGAGACGCACGGAAGCTCGGGGCCCTTGAGGAGGGACCAGAGGAAGTAGAGAGCGCAGGCGCGTCCGGGGCTCCCAGATTGGCGGCTGACTCCCATAGTAAGGAGGAAAGAGGCGGGACCAAAAAGGGACCGGCTCAGTTATAGGAGCGCCAGACGGGAGGCTTCTCCAGAGCTCCCAGACACGCCCACGTGCGCTTCCTTACGGTTAAAGACCACCTTCGCGACAGCGCTCTCGCGGTATTTGTCCCGACTCTCGCGGGGTTTAGCGTGGCACAGGGAGGCCGGGCCCGGCGAAGGGGGAGGTGGTCCGTTATCGGCGTTGGGCTCGGGCAGCTGTGGCCGCGCTTTCTCCTCTGTGCACGGGGAGCCGCTCAGGCTGGAGGCCCCCCAGGTGAAGAGCTCGCCCGCCTGCGTGTGGGTGCCGTGTGGGAGCCAGGAGGCCCGGGGCGGGAGGGGGCTCCGCCTGACCCTCCCGTTCTGTCGCGACAGGCCGGCGCGAGGCGACCGCGGCTCGGGCTCCGCCCCCGTCCCGGCCCCCGCCCTGGCTCCCGACCTGACCGCTTTCCTCCCTCTCTCTCTCGTAGCTCTTGCCGCCGCCTCGGTAGCGATGGGGGCGCAGGACCGGCCGCAGTGCCACTTCGACATCGAGATCAACCGGGAGCCGGGTGAGCCGGAGACTGGGGAGCCCTGCTGGGGCCCGGGCTTATCTCGGGGAGGGGTCTCCCCTCGTCAACTCTCCCCGAGCCTTTTTGGGGGCTGGTAGGCACAGTCAGCACTCCGTTTGTGCCGAGGCAGAATCCGTACAGAGGAGGGTGGCTCGGGTCATCACTCCCACTCCACTCGGAGTCCGGGCCTCGCCCCCAAACTCCCTGTCCCCTTGCACCCCCCACGCTGAGTGTTCACACCACGCCCGGCGCCAAGAAAACGGGTGCAATCTTTGCAGGATTTTTTACCCCACTGTTTCTAGGTGGCAGACACTTCCAATGCCAAATTCAGTTATCTTGCTCTGAGCTGTGAGATTTGGACTTATATGTTCTGTATTTCCTAATACTTGCATATCGTTAATAGGTTAACTGGCCTCTGTTATTCCTTAAGCATCTTTAGCCAGAATTTCTGGTTCATGGGGAAATAACCTGGGAAAGTCCACTGGGATAAACCGAAGCATTCTGTACCAGCAGACTTGCAGCGGGCAGTGCAC